TCGCTCCAGGGAGACCCGAGGGCTTCACCGAGCAAGAGTGTTGGTGGAAGGGCAGGCGCTGAGCTCCGGTGCTCAGGGATGATGCCCAGCGGCTGTGCCGAGCCGGACGGAGAGGGAGGGAAGGGGCAAAGCCCGGGGGACGGCCGGAGGGGCGAAGGGCGCTGGTGCGTCAGGCGTGATCCAGGGTGCTGGGCGGGAAGCCGGGGGGGGGGACGCCGGGGGAAGGGGGGGGGGGGGGGCCCGGGGGGGGGGGGGGGGGGTCCGTCGGGCAGAGGCCCCGCATGGCTGGGTGTCTTCATGGCTCCCTGGGGAGTTACACTCATTATCCGCCGGGGCACCCAAACCAAGGGGAATTCTTCGGAATGCACTAGGAAATTTTATTTCTTTAATTCAGTCACGTCATTCCAAGCCAGCTTTCACGGTCTCTCCTGGGGGGGGATGTGACACTCAAGGTGGGGCACAGCAGGCCAGTCACGGGGGGAGGGGGTGCAGGTCCGGCCACAGGTGCCGGGGCACGGCTGAGGGCGGGGGAGAGGGGAACTGTCGCCAGGAGAATCGAAGTGGGGGTGCTGCAGGCGGGCAAGGAAGTGGGGTGGCTGCGACGAGAACGCACACAGCCGCTGCTCCGCTGGGGGTCATCCGGGGCGGGTGGGAACGGCCGAGGCGCCTGGCCGCCCCGCGAGAGCGCCCGTCCCTGCTGGGACCGCATGGTCCTCGGCTGGCCAAGGGGGCTGGAGCGAATCCCAGCGGGAAAGGCCCAAGCGCGTGTGGGGCGGCCTGGCTCCGGAAAAGGGTGAGGAAGGGGAGGGATGGGGAAACCGCGCAGGATGCTGCCAGCTGCAGAGGACGTGGTGAGGGGGCGTTGTTCTCCCGCTCCCAGAACACTGGAACCCCCAGAGGGGGACCCGATCCGTGGGGGACTCGGCAGAGCAAAGGGCTCCACACGGGCACCACTGAACACTGGCATTCACGTCTGCAGGATGCCGTGGCGGCTGGACCGGAGCAGCTCCTGTGGGAGCAGCTCCAGTGCCACCCGTCCTGGCGCTGGGCCGCGTGGGTCAGGAGCAGGCGCGGGGAGGCATGGGCACGGGGCTGCCACCCCCTGCCCCGCTCGCGAGATCCTCTGGGCAGCCGGTTGGCCGCTGTGCAAGCAGAAGGCTGGGCAGGATGGACCAGTGGGCGGTGCTCATGCGCGCGCGCGCGCACACACACACACTCAAGACACAGGCAAGGGCACTTTCCAAAGGACTGTCTGGGTGTGTCTTCAAAGGGGCATCGGTGGCGCTTCAGGTTTGCTGCCAGCAGCAGCTGGGGTGGCTCCGCCACACATTCCAAAGCCACGGCCCGTTTCCCTTGCCAGGTGTGCTCTGTTGACCGGAAAGTGCGCTCTGTTGTCCTGCGCAGTCTGAGGGACCCAACGGAGTATTCCCCGCCCGGCCCCGGCCCTGTAAGAGGGTCCCTCTGCAGAGAACCGCCTCTTCCCCCATGAGGATCCTCCAGTCGGGGCCCCTTCCCTGCTGGCAGCGCACCTGTCGCAGGGTGGAGAGCTGGGGCCGCCTCACCTGAGCCTGAGAGCCTCCCGCCAGCTGTGCGTCTCAGGTGCCCCACCTGGGCAGCCAGCCGCTTCTCTCCACGCAGTGCCTCAGCTCGGCCCACCTGCCCCGGCCCCCCAGTCCCGCTTCACATTCCAGGCCCGGTCCCTCTGCAGCCGCACTAGCCAGCCACCCCAGAGAACGAGCCCTCCTTCGCACCCCCGGCAGCTGCCGCCCGGCATCCTCCGGGCCTCCATGGAAGCCGACGCTGCCCATGAACCCGGTGCCAGACTGAGTGCGCCCATTTTGAGGGTGCTGCCCGACTCTGCTGTCCATGCTGCGGCGGGCGACCCGGCGACCCCTCGGGACCGGGAAGCCGCTGGCACAGGACCGCCGGCGGGCCGGCGGGCCCTCGCTCCTGGCGCCTTCCCCCGGCATCCTCCGTTTGCAGGCGGTAGGCCCGGCTTTCCAGCACGGCCCAAGCGCAAATCGCCGCCCTTCCACCAAGCCCTTCACACGGCACCAGACCGAGCGGCGCCTTGCGGTCTCCGCCTGGGCGTCACGGCGGGCTCCTGCACCGCCGCCCGCCCCTCTTCCCGCCCCCTGAAGGGCAGTTCCCGCGAGTGGGACAACGGATCCACCGGCTGGTGCATGTGGCTCCCCCACCCGCACATTAGCGTGAGTCGAGCGGCCCCCCAGGGGCTGCCCTCCATGGGCCTGGAGGCCCAGCCCGGCTGAGCGGGGCCACTCGCCCGGATTGCTGAGCTCGGGATGCGTCAGCGCCCGTCCTGGTGCCGCCTTGAAGCCCCGCTTAGCCCTCCCCACGGCGGGCGCTGCGGAACAGCTGGCAAGCGGCAGGGGCTTGCCTGAGGCTGCCGGGGAGTCGCGCTGGGTCCTCGTGGCGGAGGGCCGACGTTCTGCACCCCCCCCCCACGAGCTCAGGCTTCCGGACAGCCTTCCCCGACCCGGTGCCCTTCGGATGCATCGCCCTGCAGCTTCCTTAATTCCAGGCCAGCGTGGCCGCGGGCTGGGAATTATGGGTGTGGGGGTGCGGCCTGCCGGAAGGGCACCGGGCTGGGAAGGGGTGCGCTGGGATGGCAGCCCCGAGGTGGAACTCCATGGGAGCAAGGGGGTGGGCTGCGAAGGCCGGCCCCTGTTGTCCTGCGGCCTCTGTGCTCCGGAGCAGCCTGAGGAGCCGCACCGGGCATCGCCCACGGGGCCGCAGAGACCCGGGAGAACTGTGGGCGGTGCAGTGTGATGTCACGCAGAACCCCTTCTGTGATGTCAGGCGGCCAGAGAGCAGGAGGCGGAAATCGCAAGGAGATGGCGAGGGCGCTGCTCCCGCTTCTGGCCCTCGTCACCCTCCGGCCTCTGGACGCCACAGATGACAGATGCAGGTGAGTGGCGCGTCCTGCTCCCCAGGTGCCCCAGCAGCACGCTGCGCAGGTGCCGTGGGAAATTGGATCCCAGGGAGCCGGAAGGAGGCTGCGGGGCACTGTTGGAGTTCCACCACTTGCCCACTCTGCCAGGTTTACCTGTTGCCCTGGGAGGCACGCACCCAGGGCACAGATGTGCAGGGAAGGCGACTCCTTGCAGGTGTGGCCCTGCCAACTGGCCAGCGCCGGCCACAGGCTCACCCAGGCCTTCTACCCGTGTGGCTCCAAAAGCACAAGTTCCTTCCAGAAATCCCTGAAGACATACATATTCAGCTCAGAAGCTGCAAAGCAACACCAGATTGTGGCAGGTGCTTCACAGCAGTACAGTTCTGGTAGCCTGAGGGATGCGATGCGGAAAGGCTGCACAGAGGAGGTCGGGAAAGACGGGCAGAACCCGAGGTGCTGGCAGGGCCGTCAGCTCCCGACTGGCCTCTTCTGCCACACGCTGATGCCGAGGGGGGACACTCGTGGTGTCTCCACTGCAGGCCACAGGCCGTCTCCCTCCCGGGGACCCTCTCCGGCCCCTGGCTGGGCCGACTGGACAGCCGGCCCGGCCCCCTTGCCCGTGGACACCCGAAAGGACCTTCGCTGGGGCTGCACAGGGAGCGAGGCTGCGGCTTCGGGCCCAGCGCACTTCAGCCGCCATTTTGTGCTGGTGTCCGGGCAGCTCCTCCGGTGGCCACGAGTGCCCGAGGCGCAGAGGGGCTGCCCCCTCGGCCGGTTCAGCGAGCGAGAGTGGCGCATGCCCCATGCCGCTCTGTGGCTCGCCTCGGCCGTGCGGCGCAAGCGGGATCTGCCCGGCCTGCCGAGCACTGACGGCCGCCCCGTTTGCAGCGGGATCTGCGGGCGGCGCCCCCTGGCCTCCAGCCACAGCCTGCAGATGGCGGGCAGCGTGGACACCCTGCCGGGGGCCTGGCCCTGGATGGTGAGCATCCGGACGCCCTTCCGGCTGGGCTACCAGCACACCTGCGGCGGCTCGCTCATCGGCGCGGGGGGACCCCCCGGGGGCCCCCTTGGTTTAAGGGCCAGGGGGGGGGGGGGGGGGGGGGGCTCCCGGGGCCTGTGAGCCAGGATCCAGGCCCTGCCCCGTCCTCGAGCGGGAGGGAAGCCTCCGGGGGGCAAGGGGGAGCTGGCCTCTATCACACCTGAGGAAGTTTGCTCCTAGTGCAGAGGAAGCTGCGCTCCAGGTGCACCCCTTTACTCGCACCAGGTGAAGGGCTGTTGCAGTCCCTCCCAAGCTGACGCCAGAGTGCAGGACGCAGAATGATCCAGTCAAGCTGCGACAGCCCAGATTCAGGCTGGACATCAGGAAGAGCTTCCTCACTGCCAGAGCAATGCGGCAGTGGGACCAGCTGCCCGGGGCGGGGGGGCTCTCCCCCACTGGGGACATTTACAAAGAACCTGGGCAGCCCCCTGAGTGGAGTGGTGCAAACTGGTATCCTTCAACAGCAGGGGGTGGGCTTGATGGCCTCCGTGGCCCCTTCCAACTCGGCTGTTCTAGGATTCTATTATTCTAAGCAGGAAAGGGAAGTTCCTTACCCGGGATTGATGGAGGTGGGAGTCGCACCCTGGCCCCTGCCCTAGTCCTGGGTGCCCTTGGCTGCACCCAGGGAGGGCGTGTGCAGCATGCCTCTGTGCATGGGCAAAGCGCTTGCGTCCCCAGAGCCTGCTGGGAGCTCTCCAGCACAGGCTGAGCTCGGGGCGCTGCACTGCTCCGCGGCCCCTCCAGCCCTTGAACGGGGTGTGGATGCAGAGAGATCCCGCTGAGTGGAGCGAGCTGTGCTGTGCGGGGGGGGGGGGGAGTCCCCAAAACCGGGCGGGGGCTCCCGCTGAGCATCCACCCCCTGGGCCAAAGGCCGGTCCCGGGTGCAGCTCGTCCGTGTGAACGGCCCGCCGAACTCGCCTGGGACGCGGGCAGCGCGCCAGGCCGAGGGCCCACGACTCGGTCCCCCGGGGGCTCGGGCACCTCGGCGGGGTTGGGGCGGGCGAGGCCCAGCGAGGGCGCCGGCCCAGCCCATGCCTCCCCCTGCAGGTACCTGGCGAACTGGGAGCTGGTGCTGGGGGCGGCCGAGCTGTCCCGGCCGGGCCCCGACGCGGAGGTGCGCTTCCTCAAGCGGGTGGTGGAGCACGAGCGCTACCAGCCGCAGCGGCAGGGCAACGACATCGCCCTCATCGAGCTGGACGACCCGGTGCTGTGCAACGACTACATCCAGCCCGCCTGCCTGCCGGACCCCGCCGTGCCCGTCTCCGCCATGGCCCACTGCTACATCGCGGGCTGGGGCTTCACGCAGGAGAAATGTGAGGGCCTGCGGGGGGCGCCCGGCGTGCGCAGGGCAGGGGCCGCGCGTGGGAGGAGGGCGTCTCCCAGGCGCTGCCGGTCTGGACCCCAGAGGGGCTTCGGGGGCGCGCAGGCTCCGCCGGCGCTGTCGGCCGCCTCGCGCCCAGTATCTGCCCACTGGCAGAATCGGCCCTGAGCGAATGCATGCGTGCAAATTTGTAGTTCTGTACATGCAGAATCGCCCCCCCCCCAACTTCCCTCCCCAGGGCGTATTTTCCTGCTTCAGGCAATGGCAGGGGAAAAGGCACACCTTGATGCGTTGCTTTTCAATTGTTTGCCTCTTCCTTTAACCACGCTACTGTGACATGACGGAAAGTGGAAAATCCACGGGATCCACGCAGCTGCTGAGCAGCCGGCCCACCCGCTGCAGGAAGCCGTCCTGCCCAAGGAGGCAGATCCACAGGCCCCTCGGAAAAAATGGGGGAAACGGGAGGAGGAGAGGGGGCCCGCTTATTCCCAGCCGCCATCCTGAGGCGTGCCCCCCACACTTGGCAGGGTGCAGAACTCCAGGAAAAATAACTTTTTAAAGGCTGGTGATTAAACGCATCGTGCAAGACTAGCCCAGCCTCCGGGTCTGCTCTGCAAACCCCCACGGGAAGCCGGTCCGGTGGCCACGTTGCCCCTCGCAAAGCCCCTTCCCGGGGACTCTGCATCCAAGCCAGGGGCCACACCTGTCAGCCCCGTGCCACGTCCCCCCCAGCCCCCCGCCCCCCAGTGCCTCCACCCAGGTCGGTGCAGGCTGCGCTGCTGCTGCGGTTTTGCTCTAGACGCCTGTCTGCTGAAATGCTGGGGGAGCAGAGACGCCGCTTGGAAAGGATGGGTTGCGACTCCCATCAGCCCCAGGCAGCGTGGCCAAGGCTCCACTGCTTTCCGAGCATTACTCCCCCCACAGGGAGGGCCAGCTAATTCCTGGGGGGACCTGAGGATGAGGGAATGTGGGTACAGGGAGGAAAGTAACGGGGGCTCCGCAGACGGCGGGGGGTGTCTAGCCGGGGGGCTCCTCTTTCCTTTGCAGCAAAGGCCCCGTCGGACATCCTGAAGGAGGCCAAGGTGGACCTCATCCCCACGGACAGGTGCAACGGCAGCAACTGGTACTTCGGCAGCATCACCGCCAACCACCTGTGCGCCGGCTTTGAGGGGGGAGGCATCGACACCTGCCAGGTGCGTGGCCTGGGCACCGCCCGCTCCTGCGACCCCCGGGGCTTGCGCAGGAATGCCGGAGGTCTGTTCCCGTGGGTGCCGGGAGCTGGAGGCCCTGCGTCGCACGTCCTGTCGCCCCTTCGCTGAGGGCCCCTGCCGCGGCTCGCGGGGAAGGTGTGGCCAGCGCTCAGGGCCGCAGGGGCGAAGGTGGGGGGCCAGTGACGCCCCGGAGGAAGCCGGGCGGCCGGGGCTGCCTGCGGGCGAGGGGCAAGCGGGCCTGGGCTGGACGCCTGGTCCCGAGCCAGCGGGGGAAGCTGCCCAGTGGTCTAGGGAGCCCGGAGCGCAGGCAGGCGAGCGCCAGGGGGCCAGCGAGAAGGGAGAGCAGAGGTGGGCAAGGAGGGCAAGAGGGAGGCCCCGAACCTTTTCTTCTCACCCCCCCCTTTGTTTTCTTCCTGGCCACACCCCCCGTTTCCTGGTGGGACTGGGCTGTCACCCTCCGGGAGCCACAGGAGAAGGGACTGGGGTCACAGCAGGAGCACAAGGTGGAATCGAGCAGGTAGCAGAAGGAACGGGCCCCGTGGGCTCCCCGGGTGGCGACCTGCGCCGGCTGCCGTGCCTGTTCCCCTGCCTGAGGCCAGCTTGGCCCGCACACGCAACCCGGGCAAGCCACTAGCCCTGACAGAGGGACAGGTGGGAGCGCCGGAGCAGCGAGTGCCCCCACCCTGCAAGGGAAGGAGAGAAGATGCAGAGTTTTTAGACGGAGTGATAGGACTGCGGCCACTCAGAGCGGAACGGAAACGAGAGGAGCAGCGGCGAGCCGAGGCCGGGGAGGAGAAGCCTGGGGAAGCGGAAATGAAGAGGAGTGAGCTCCTTGGAAAGGGCGCCCGCTGGTGCAGGAGAACGAGAAGCCACTCCAGGGCGGTGGAGGCAGAGGCTCCCTCCGGCCGCCGTCAGCCACCCGGGGATGCGACGGAGGGCGGCCTGCTGTGGCGGAGCCGTGGTCTCTCCGTGCCACACGGAGCAGGAGGCTGGAGGTCAGCTCGGCGTCAGCGAGGACTCCGAGGCCTGCGGGAGCAAGCGGCGAAGGGTGGGGTGCTCGTGCCGGAGACCCCTGCTGCGTGGGGAGGACACGCGCATGTCGGAACGGCCCGTGGGCTCGTCGGGTGTGCGGTCTCCCTGGAGGACAGACCAGAGACCCAGCTGAAGGGATGCCGAGGCTCAGGCGGCCCTCCTTCGGGGAACAGGTGACGCTGCCGAGCGAAGCGCTGAAGAAACCACACCGGACTTTGACGCTATGGGGGGAACGTCGAGAACCGTGGCGCCCAGATAGTTTTCTCTCCGATCTTTCCAGTTCTTGGAAGACGAACAGGCAGGGAAAGAAAAATCTCCAGGTGAAGGTCTGGCTAGGAAGGCAGTGCTGCTGCGAGAGATTTGGATTCTGGGGCCATGGGCCACGCTTCCTGGAGGATGGGCTGTTGGCCCGGGAAGTGTTGCCCCTTACGAGGCCTGGAAGGAAGGTGTTTGGGCTCAGCGTGAGAAGTTTGTCGGGGGCTTTCAGTGGGATCCTAGAGGGGGAGGGGGAGCTCGCCCGGGCGTAACAACAGGCAAAGGCTGATGCACCACGACACGGAGAGCCGCTCCTCAGATGGTCTTCCAGCAACTGCAGGAAGAAACTGCGGAGCATGTGGTCTCTCGCGTCTGTATAGTCGTGCACCGAGTATGGGAAATGAACAGCCCGGACTTGAACCCGTAACGCAGGAGGGCGACTGTGGCATGCAAGGCAAACCTGGAACTTGGTGGGACGACTCCCATGACCGGAATTCAACAACTGAAGGATACAACCTGTTGAAGAAGAGCAGAAGGAGCGGGAAGACACAAGTCCAGCTTCCGGATCCACAGTCGGCCGCAGAGCTGGACTCAACGGCTGCTTGTCGGGGCACCATCTCCAGCTGGGGAGGGGCAGCAAGGGAAGCGCCGGCGGGGCCGGGCCGGCCGGCGCTCTCCCCCACGCTGGTTAACGATTTTGATTTGGGTGAGGAGCGGCTGGAGCGAGGGCCAGCTCCGCAGGTGGGGCAGCTAATATTCAGGAAGACGGAGAGAAGGTCCCAGGTGATCTTGACAGGTTGTAGTGCTGGGCTGAAAACCATGAAATGAAATTTAGTCGGGACAAATGCCAAGTTCTGCACCAGGAAAAAGAAGCCAAATGCATCCGTACGAGATGGGGAACCCCTGGCTCAACGATGCCGCAAGAGGGGGGGTCCTGGAGCTGCCGTAGCTCACAGGCGGAGGACGAGTCCGCAGGGTGAGGCGGCTGCAAAATGCCCGATGCTGTTTGAGAGAGAATCGATGGAAGGGCCACTTCCAAATCACGCGACGTACCAGCTCCCCTTTATGCCGCACTGGTCAGGCCCCGTCTCGAGTCCTGTGTCCAGTTGAAGAAAGAGGCAGGAAAATTAGGAAGGGTCCACGGGAGGGCAACGAGGATGACCCAGGGGTTGGAAACGCTGCCCTGTGAGGAGGGACTGGGAGAACTGGGCATGTTCAGCGCTGGGAAGAAAAGGCTGAGGGGGGACATGGCATCCCTGCAGAAGTCCCTCAAAGGCTGTCCCAAAGAGGAAGGCCAAGGTCTCTTCCTTCTGATCCCAGAGTGCAGGACGTGGGATAATCCATTCAAGCTACGACAACCCGGATCCAGGCTGGGCATCAGGAAGAGCTTCCTCCCCATCAGAGGAACGCGGCAGGGGGACCAGCAGCCCGGGGGGGGGGGGGGGCCCCCCCCCACTGGAGGCACTCAAGGAGAAACTGGGCAGCCCTGAGTGGGAGGGTGCAAATCGCACGTGGCAGGCATGTCGCGAGTGGAGCCGGCTGGAGCCGGGGTCGGACCAGAGGGCCCGCGAGCCCTTCTGCTTCGCTCTGTTTCTGTCTGTAAATGGGTGTCCGGCGCCAGCGGGGGGGGGGGGGGCGACGGCCTTGGTGGCCCTTCCAGCTCCGCCGGCCCTGACGCTGTGCTTCTCTCCCCTCGCGCTGCAGGGCGACAGTGGCGGGCCGCTCATGTGCCGGGAGGAGCGCTCCGAGCGCTACTGGGTGGTCGGCATCACCAGCTGGGGCCAGGGCTGTGCGCGCGCCCAGAAGCCGGGCGTGTACACGTCCACCCAGGTCTTCTACGACTGGATCCAGGGCTACACGAGGGAAGAGCCCCTCGCGAAGAGCACCCCTCCGCCCACCTCCGAGGCTGCGCCGCCGCCAGTGGTGCTGTCTGAGCCAACGCCCCAGACGCAGACGCCCGCCTCCAGCCTGCCCACGCAGACGCAGGCAACAGCCCAGCCGTCGAGCGCGGCGCAGCCAGCATCCAGGGGGACCACGAGCCCACCGGCCGTCCAGCCGCAGCCGGTGACCCTGGTGCCGCTCCCCGCGGTGACGGCGTCGCAGACGGCGGCATCCTCCGAACCGACACCGCAGCCGCTCCCCGTCCAGCCAGAACCGGTGACCCTGGTGCCACCCCCAGCGGTGACGCAGACGGCGGCATCCTCCAGACCGACACCGCAGCCGCTCCCCGTCCAGCCGCAGCCCCCGGCGCTGCTGCACTCGCCCAGCCAGCTGCAGCCTGACCTTCACACCGCGCCCCAGCCCAAGCTGACGCCCAGAGCGGTGCTGCGGCACGTGGTGCTGGTGGGGAAGCAGCCCGCGTCCATGGCAGAGGTCCAGCAGATGGAGAACTGGGCCCATTCCCACCCCGAGGCCACACCTGCGCCACCCACCACCACCAGCGCCACCACCAGCACCACCAGCGCCACCGGCGCCACCAGCGCCACGACCTCGCGGCCCCCCCTGCCGGCCCCACGCCAGAAACCCAAGCGGCGAAAGCAAACCATCATATCCGGCACCTATTACGGCAGCAGCGCGGAGCAAGGCTGGGCCAGCAAGTGGCCCCGGGCAAAGTCGCGGTCCGGCGCGTAGAGCCACGGGCCCTCGCCGCACCGCTGCCGCTCCCCGCACCGTGGGGACGGACGGACGGACGGACGGATGGACGCTCGCTTGCTCCGTCCTCCGCGGGATCGTGTAGAACTACCTGACAATCACAGCATATGATAGAGCAGCCATATCTGAAATAAAGCCGGCCTGCTGCCCAACGCGTGCCTGTGTCTGCGGGGGCAGCGGGGCCCCCGAGCTGCAGCGGCTTTCGCTGAGGCAAAGCGAGATGCCCGGGAGGGCTGGGGACCGGTGCCTGAGCCGCTGCGGCCTTCGAGACGCTGGCGAAGGTCGCCTTCCGTGCCAGGCCTCCCTCCCCTGCTGAGCAAAGGGGCGGCTGCGGGTCTCCACTCCAGAGTCCAGACGCCACCCCAGCAGGCGCCCTCGCCTGGGCCTCCCCCGCCCTCAACACAAGGAGGGAGCCCCTGGCCAGCAAGACTCGTGGCCACAGATGGCCGCCTCCCTCTTGGACCTCTCCAGTCCCTCTTCAAAGCCATCCAGATTGGTGGCCAGTGCCACTTCCGGTGGCAGCGGCTTCCATACTCCCACTGCAGGTGGGGTGAAGAGGTGCTTCCTTTTCCCTGCCCCAGACCTCCCTCCAGGCAGCTTCGTGGGATCAGTCTGGGTTCGAGTGTTATGGGAGAGGGAGAAAAACATCCCCCTCCCCATTATTCTGAACACCAAACTCGCCCTGACGTCTCCACTCTCCAGGTCCGCACAGTTTGCCAGCTCCCGCTTCCGTGTGCTCGCTCATCCAGCGCACCTGGTCGCATGGGCGCAGCCTTCCTGCCCCGCTGGGGCACATGCTCCGCCTGCTTGGGCAGGGCCCATGGCCCTTCTGCTTGGCCGGGCCGGCTGTCCCGGGGCTTCCCTGCTGGCACCCAGAACCAGTGGGGCTGTGCTTTTGCCAGGAGGAGGCCACCTGCCTTGTTGCCCGGGCCTGCTCCAGGCCCAGATGCGCCCCAAGATGGTCGGTCCCCCGAGACTGCGCTCCCACTGACTGGGAAGGTACCTGCTGAGCTGGCAAGAGCTGCCCAAGGGGCCCCCTTCCCGCTCGTGGGGGGATCTTCCTTCCTTCCTT